ACACACACACACACACAAACACCTGAACAAAAAGGAGTCGAAAAGAGGGGGAAAGGCGTTCAGAAAGAGGGGGTGGGGGGGGGGAGAAGTTTTTTTTAAAAACAACATAACAATATGTGGATGATAAGGGGAGGAGGAAGAGAGGAGAGGGGAAGAAGTAGGAGGAAGAGATGAAGGAACGACAGAAAAAATGAAGGAGGTAGCACTTAAGGAAAACTGTGTGGAGGAGGAGGAGGAATGAGGGGAGGGGGGAGAGGTAAAAGGAAGAGATGAGAGAATGAACAAAAAGAAAAATATTAAAGAGGTGGCAGTTAATATTATACGGATGGAGAGGAGAGAGGAGATGAGGAGAGGAAGATGAAAAGAGAGGGAGAGAGAGAGAGAGAGAGAGAGAGAGAGAGAGAGAGAGAGAGAGAGAGAGGGGGGTACCTTTAAAGAATATATATTATATATAGGATTTTGCGGGGTTTGTATTCCGTGCTTTCAGATTAAGAATTGCGTGCCTTTACTGCTAAATCAGTTGTTCTCCCATATTTATAAAAGGTTATGTGGAGATACGAGGGGTAAAAATATAAAGTGTTGTAGAACTAGGAAAAGAAAACGGTGTCAGAATTGGATAGGAATAAACAATGCTTTACTTGTGCTATCGCTTGAATCCGACATTACTTTGTTGTTTTATTGGACGGTAAAATGGGAAACCGGACATAATATTATGTCCCGTAGATTTAAAAAAAATACCCCCTAGCCTGACAGTTCGGGGTATATCTCAGAGAAAACCGCTGAACAGTATCTGGCTGCAGGATTAAGGCTCGAGCATAAATCAGCCTTAACGATTTGTGTATTTAGGAAGATTTCAGGACTGAAGTCCAGACAGTCATTTATATTGTCCACCCAGACATTAACTGGGCTCACAAAACTGAACATTCCGTGTTGGAGTAGACATTACATTATTTGAGGTAATGGACACTTGCTGCGAGGAATGGATGGGGCTAAAAACTACAGATCGACAAGATTACCTCTAAGGCACCATATTTCTGGAGTAAATAAAGCGATTATTATTTTTGTTTTGTTGAAGTGATGAAACCAACTTGAAGTAGAATGTGTAGGTGTTTCTTTAAGCCCCATCTAAACAAGTTAGATCATTTAGACGGCGAGTTTGACCAAACCAGGCGGAGAGGGAGACAACCTCCCAGCAGAAAGACCGAGATACTCCACAAAAATTCTCTAACCGCTAAACCACAGAAAATGGTATATAGAATGCCTTAGCTTTAGGACAGAGCACTTGGTCCCCCAAAAAGACACAGGGCTCCTGGGAAAAAAGAGAGTGAACTTTGAACTTCGTACTAATTCAAACTAAAAACGTTAACTTGAATGTCGCTACTTTTGTAACCTATTCCGCAATAACGCCCCTCATAGCATACGTGTTCACTGTTCGGATAACTCTACATTCCCATTATCTTTGGAAACTTTGATCGTTGAACAGGAACAACATTAACAGAAGACGAACAGAGAAGCAAAAGTGTCCAAGGTTGATAATACTAATGATTTAATAAACTATACAAGATCAGTGAGCTGAGACTGATTTATTGTTGGCATGTTAGTTTTAGCAGACATGATGAACTCTTTCGGTATCAATTATAGATCTTATATCCGAGCAGCGTGTGAAGCCGCTCGAAGAGGAATTTGAAAATGAAAAAGTGGAAGGCCTAATCTAAATCTCAGTTGCCGATCTTGTGGCAGCGGTCAGTTTCAAGTTGATCATTGACATCTTTACAACAACGTCTCTGACTGGCCTTCTGTCAGCTTACCTGGGTCGAATCCCCCCGGCAGAGTGGGTCGTGGAGTTGTAGGTTTGGGCGGGGTGGGCGTGCCGAAGGACAACTGGAACTGGGCATTGGTCAAACTGACCAGCAGGGACAGGTACACGCACGCTACACTTACAACGGCCATCTCAGGACAACTTGGGTGTATGGTAAATAATGTCTTCCTTTGACCCAGATGACCACTTTATATAGGCTAAATTTGATCAAGGGAAATAAAGACACGAGACTGAACTCGTGACTATTCATAGGCAATCTGACGAATTACCAGGATGCATGTTCAGGGTCTCCGAAACTTGTGCTCAACTGTAGAGGAATTTTAAAGTAAAGTAAAGTAAAACACTATACGCATTAAACAATTATTGTAGATGAGCGAAGCTAAAAAGTAGCTCAAACATAACCTGGAGCGACAAAAACCCTTCTTCCATAGCCAGTTCTTGTAGAGAGATAATTGTGCTCTCCAGAGGCCGTACTATAATTGTGTTATATTCTTGCTTCCATTCATTTATTTTAGTTTTCATCGTAAATGTAGTCACCAAATACACGCCGAAAAGGCGATTTTATTTTGAGCAATATGACGAATTCCTGTAAAACTGTCAGAAAACTTGGAACGCACTTACGCTTGCTAGGTCGCGAGTCTAAGTAGGGCTTTCCAGATCTGAAGATAAGAACCCCAACCAAACAGGCATTTCCGTTGCGATAGCAAGATGTTACGACGACAGAGTCCCTGGGGCTCATGTAACGTCATTGGGTCATTGAACGTCACAGCGGGCCAAGCACATGGCTCGCGCACTTGTGGCTTATGAGGTCAATGAAGCGGTTTTTAATAAAGCTGTTCAGATGTGCGGAAGGTAGATCTTGTCAAGGAAACACAAACCCACAAAAGCACACGCGCGTGCATACA